GGCTTCATGAGTGGTGATAGTTTGAGAAGTAGAGAAGAATTAAAGCCAAGAGACATTTTTAGTAACTGGAAATAGTCCAGTTGATTAGAAATATCTGAAGATTATTTTATAGAGATGGCAGTTTAACCCATGAAAGGTGAAGAGCATAATCAAGGGAAATAATATAACCAGAAAAATGAAATGAAATGTAAAATTTGAAATCACATAATCAGTATTGGCATGAATCCATGGGAACAAGGAAATGAATGATGAAAGGGAAATTCAGAGGTTCAAAAATAGAATATTAAAAATATTCATAGTTCCAGGTAGAATATGTATTCAAAAACACTGTAAATGAGACAATTTTACATATGAAAAAGCTGAGGCTGTGGGGAGTGGAGTAATCTGAAGTAGTCACAATTTAGCCTAAACTTGTTGTGTCTTTGTCCTTGTTCCTACTTTCTCTTCTCTTTTCAATCTCTGAGAGTCAATAAATAGAAAGATATGTATTCCATGGTCACTTTGTTTAGTATCCAGGGTTTATGTGGAAATATAGAATTTTAAAGGAAGGAAGATATCTAAGACAAGATGGGTACAAAACCAGAGATGAGCCAGCATACACTATTAATATGACATCGTTCTTCATTCAAGTAGCCATGCATTGAATAATGGTGAAACCACTACTGTATAGACAGCAAAATTATGAGGGATGTAGGAAACAGGATTAGTGAAAATGTTAGAAAATGAATTAACTTCATAAATTCTGCATATATTTTGTGTGCTGCAGGACTCAATTTTGGAGCTATATACATTTTTCAGTTTAGCCTTCACCACATGGGTCTACACTTGCAGCCTTAGAGTTTTGCTCCCACTTTGGGGAATAAAACCATGAAAGAAATTGATAATCAAGTTTTGCAACTCAGGCAACAATGTCCACAAAAGCTTAATTTTGTTCAAATAATTATTTGGTGGCAATGTTCTATACCAAATACAGGAGTGAGTTGTAGTGGAAAAGTAAAACAAACAATAACAAAAGAACCCCATACTTAGCAGAATCCTAAAAATCAAGTCCTGGAATATTTCATTGTTAAATCATATCTAAACATCTTTGAGACAGCCACCCTTCAGCTAGGATGCATCAAAAGAATTAGCATCACTTCTCAAGGGCAATAGGGCAAAAAAGTTAACTGCATTTCCAGAACTGTCTTTTCCTCTGTCAAATGCCTTCATGTTAGAAACGTTGGCTAGGTGAGATGAGATGTATCATCAAGTACTTGTTGCCCTTTTTTCTGTTTATTGTAAAAACACAAGTTTTTGTCCATTATCCCTCTAAAGATCTGACTACTATTGGCATGACTACCATAAGGCAAGTGTTATGATTTATATGGAGAATGTTTCTCAAAGGCCTCATGAGCTCAAAGATAAGGATTTTGAAAGGTTATTGGTTCACAGAGGCAGTATAGCTAATTTGTTGCTAGAAGTGAAGGTCTGATTGGAAGAGGTAAGTCACTAGGAGCATGACCTGGAAGGATGTATCACCCTTACGTCTCCTGCTTTCTCTCTGTTTCCTGATTACCAGGCCTCGAGTAGCTTTCCTCTCCTTGGAAAAGCTCTTCCTATGTTTAAGCCTGTCAAACATGGACAGAAACTGTGAGCCAAAATAAATCTCTCCCTCTTTAAATTGTGGGTGTTGGGTATTTGTCTCAGGGACAAGGAAAGTGATTACAAGAACTGAGAATCCAGATAAGGCAGATGTTGTATCTACCATACAGTCATGATTCAAAAGACAAACATTTCCCAAAATCACCTTTACTTATCCACTACTTGAAAGAAAGAAACTTTGTCTGGATTCTGTGCAATTAATTCAATGGCATGAGAACTTGCCTGTTTGCTGTGGCAAAGGTAACCCACCCTAGTTGGTTGGCCTCAGTCGTGAGAGACCTCACACTTGGAGATCCTCTGAATGAAATACTCATTTCCTAGAAGAAAAGTGCCATATAGAAACTTTAAGAATTACTACTGTGCATTTTCTATCTCCAAGTGCCAAATACACATCATATGGTATTCATGAAGATAATGATTATCTGTACATTAAGCTCTGTGATTCAGAGTATAGTTGGCACTTACAAAAAGCAGGTGTTCAAAAAAAAAGCAGGTGTTCAGAAAGAAAAACATTTTTATCATAAATGATGTTAGGAGCCAGCCAGATAGCTCAGCAGACTAAAGCTCCTGCTTAGGCAGAGCGCAGCAGCTGGGCTTCGATCCCCAGAACGCTGTGCCACCCCTGGCCCCGGGGTGCACTGAGACAGCAATTGAGACTGAGAGTGGTGGCGCACGCCTGTAATCCCAGCTCTTGGGAGGCTGAAAACAGGAAGATCGCTATGAGTCTGGTCTACATAGTGAGACTCTGAACACCCTGTAGACCCTGTACCAAATACATAAAAAATAATTAATGATGTTACTTGTTAATCTCAAAGAATGATTTTCTAGATACCTCATTCATTTTAAAAACACATATACACCTAAACATTAGGCTAGCTATCTCAATTGTGTCCTGTGCAATAACAGCGAAATGGTAATTCTGTGAGTAGCAAGTTCCAAAACATTTCATTAAATTTAGATGACATTAAACTATCGCTGTAGCTATTTAAGTCAGATACCAGCCAGTGTTATAGATCAGATAATTCTGATAGATCAAACAATCTTAGTTCAAAGTATAGCAGGCTGATTGCTCTTGGAAACTTGAATATAAGGACTGTTTGAAAATCTTTCCGTGTAGCAACCCAGCTTTTGGAGGTTGTAGATACTTGTTGCCTCCAGGGAATGGACAAGGGAGAAAGAAGAAAGTGCCCTTGAATGAATATGAATATATATATATATATATATATATATATTGAACACTATCTTTGTGTACTTTCTGTTGCTATGACAAAATACCTGATGTTTGATACTTTATAAGGTAAAATGATTTATTTGGCTCACAGTTCTGATTGGCTGTAGAGTCCAAATTACTTGGTGCAATGTCATGGCAAATGACTACTGGAAGTATCAGAACATGATGGACAAACAAAATGAGAAATAGCCACCTGCTAAAGGAACCAAATGCATGGGTGGTCTTGCTTTTAAACAATCTTCTCTTATAAGAACTAACCAAGATTCAAAAAGAACTCCATTCCCTTCTGAGCATGACACCTTCATGACTTAGTTGCCTCCCACTAGGACCCACATCTTAACTGCTCCACCGCCTCAACACTATGACATGAAGGACCACAGTTACAGCATATAAGCCTCTAAAGGAATGCTCAAACTATCATAACCAGCTCTGCTTTCCAATCTTCCAGATTACCCAGAAGGACTATCATCTCTTGCTCTGGAAACAGAAACATAGCAGTTTTCACATTTCCTCCATCTGCTAGACAGGTCAGTATTCTTTTTTTATGTACTTGGTAAAGGGTCATACTGTGCAGCTTGGACTCATATTGATCCTCCTGTTTTCAGCCTCCTCAGTTCTAGGATTACAGGCATGCACCACCATACCCCGTTTCAGTGGCTGGATCAGTGCACCTGGGGGTGTGGCCAGAACCAAATGTGGTACTGGGGATTGAACCCTGGTCACTGCACTTGCCTAAGCAGGCAATTATTCTGCTGCAGTATCTCACTGGCCCTGACTGGTCAGTATTCTTGAAGGAAACATATTCAATGCTACCTAGATTGCTAAGAGGAAGACAAGAGCAGAACTAGAAAAGGAATAAATTTTCATTCTGGGAAACAAGATGTTAAATTGTTCACTGTCATTGCACATTATGAAGAACTTCTATACATAATTTTCCTGTGCAGTATACCAAAAATAATGTCTATTCCTCACAAACTCATACTTAATATAGCACATGTGCTAAGACCCCAGGGAATCTAAAAACAGCCAAACATTCTGTTCATGTTATTTACTTTCACAACGTGTGCTATACACCTTGTGTTGGTACATTCTAGTTCTCTAAGATAATGTAGGTCACAAATAGGTTCCTTTTGTATCTCTTCATTATTTCAATTAACTACCTACTCTTACACACTAACAAGCAAAAAGTGTTCTCCTTACACTCCAATGCCCCTAAAAGGCTACTAAATTATGGTCAGGCAGTTTTACATGTGGAATTCTCTTTGGCCTAGTAAAATGGTAAATAGCCTCCCCTTATTCACAGGTAAATAAGCTTGGTGAAATTCAGTATTAAGACTTTTAGTTATAGAAAGATCATGGAGCCCAAAGCTCTGATCTGGTAAGAATTCTTTTTCTTTTTCCATGAAAAAGCAATAATACAGAAAGCTCTCGGTCTGTTTGTGAATTCTAAATCTTCAACTTCAATTTTTTACCTTACAAAACTTCTGGTATGTGCAAGTATAGATACTGTATATAACCTCATGTATGCCAGCCCTTTTGCTCTGTGCTTAGAATATGTTATCTCATTTACTCTTCACATTGACTGTGTAAGGCTAATGTTATTATTCCAATTTTACTCATAAGAAAACTAAATGCAGAGATGTGTTAAACCATCCACTTGAGATTACACAGCTGGTAAGTGGCTAACCTAGAGTTGTAACCCAGATAGGTATAACCTAAAGTCACATTGTTTCTGCATTTAAATTTACTATGTTTCTCCACTTATAATCAAAGATTAAAAGGAAGAATTAAATTGATTTTCTTATCCCAAATCATGATGAAATGTTGAATTTTTAGGTAAGAAAATTTGTACTCAATTTTATCTATCATGGTCATCACCATCATTTTTTATTTTAAATTTTGCTGAAGATATTCTATTGAAATACTGGTATTGTCACACATTAACAGATATCGCAAAGACAACAATATGCAGTGTATTAATTATTGTAACTGTCCTACTGACCTGCTTTGAAACTGTTTCATTGTTATTTGTTTCTCAATAAAATTAATAAAAAAACAGATACTGAAGTAAAGAAGTTATCTGGTGAAAATATGTAGGAAATATTGTATAAGTAAAATTAAAGAATTCTGTTTAGGAATTCTCAGGGCTTTTAATATACTATTGAGATTTGTGGCTCATGCAGAGGAGGTTGTATTGAAAGCATAATTTGACCATTGGACACTTTCTTTTGCACAGATCATAGTACTTTAACTTATCAGAAATAACTTTAATGTTTCTTAATGCTATAGTGATAGTTATAAAATCTCCAAGTTGAAAACTACTTGTGTGTCTATCAATAGAATAGTTGAATAAGTTATACCAGTGAGCTATCTCCCCAGCACCTTTACCATCCTTAATTTAGAAAGCTCTTGCAAAGTAGTAAACAAAAGAAAAATACAGCAGTTAGAAAATCGGCCAAAGATATGAAAAGATAATAAAATAAAATGAAAAATAAATATGAAAATATTCAGCTTTATCACAAAAAAAAAACAAGTTAAAACAAACTAAACTACCCAATTTTCTCTATTAAATCAGTCAAGTTTTGCAAATTATGATACCTAGTGTTTCAGAATATGTTAAAATGAGTATTTTTTTTTGTGGAACCTGGGATTGAACTCAGGCCCTTGCATTTGCCAGGCAAGAGTTTATTCTACTGAGCTATCTTCCCAGCCCCCTAAAATGGGTATTCTTATATACTGCTTATATGAAAGCTTAAATTCATAGATGATTTTTAGAGCAATTTATTGACATATAAAAGGCTTAAAATGTTCATATATTTTTATCAGGTACATAACACCATTTTAACAGTGTATTGTGCTAAGACAATCAGAGATTTATACTATTTGTTATAAATTTATTATCATGGTAGAAAATTTGAAACTAAATATCTAGCAGTAGAGGATAGAAAGACAAATTGAAATAAATTGTTACATCATTATGGTGTATTATTGTACAATCATTAAAAATATTTTGATATTTCATAATTAATAGGGTTATGTGAAAATGCTATACAAATAGTTTAACTTAATTCTGTTTTTCTTTTTGCTTTTAAGACTGGATTTTGATATGTAGATCACACGGACCTTGAATTCACTATATAGTCCAGACTGGCCTTACACTTACAATAATCCTTCTGCCTCAGCCTCCTGAGTGCTGAGATTACAGGAGTACCCCACCACACCCAATTAATTTAACTCTTCTGATGCTTAAGATCACACTCAAGGCCTAACATGCTTAAAGTAAATACTATATGAGTGAGTATAGATATACTCAGTACTTATCCTTAATTTAAAAGTGTATCTTTGTCAATTTCATTAACATAAAATTAACCTCCTATATAATTTACCCACTTTCAGTGGTTTTTATTATATTCACAGATCTGTGCAACCAGTACTAAAATCAATTTTAGAATATTTTTATTACCCAAAAGAGAAACCTCATACACCTAAGTAACTCCCCATTCTTATCACTCCTGCTTTTTGGCAATCATTAATCTACTTTCTATCACTCTGGCTATACCTGTTTGGAATACTACATGTAAATGGAATCATATAATATGTGGCTTTTGGGGAAAGTGTTGCATATCTGAAAAAAGATAAACTTGAGGCTTTAATAGGTAAATGCATACAACCAGAGACAATGTGCATAAGTGAAATAAACCAGACCCACATATGTACACATCATATTGTCTCTTTAGTGTAAGAACCTGAAAAAGTAAATAAAATCTGAAAAGTACAACATATACTGTGAAAAGGAAAGAAACTGTTCAAAG